ATATTAAAATAATTTTATACTATAGTTTTATTTTTTAAAATAACATTTATTTATTGTTTATTTTTTATTATTGAAAAATTAAAATTATTTTTTTCTTTCTCCTAATTTTATTGGTTTTATTATTTTCTTTTTTTTTTAATTTTTTTCTACTAATTTTTTGTATAATATGAAATTATAATTAATTTCTTTTATTTTATTTTATAAAATTTATTATATAATTAATTGATTTATGTTAATTTATTTATTCAGGCTTAGATAGATTCTCTGCAATGCAAGTAATTAATGCATTGAGAGTTATAAGTTCGGAATCTACAGTGTTTTGTACGATTCATCAACCAGGAATGGATATATATAATATTTTTACTCATGTCTTATTGTTATCTGATGGAAAAACAGGTTATTTTGGATCTTTAAAAGATGCTACAAAATTCTTCTTAAGGTATCTAATTTCTTTATTATTTTTTTTTTTAATTATAATGTAATAATTATAAAATTATTACTTTTACAACTTTTTAAAATTATCATTTGAAAATTTACCTATCATAAAGTAATTTCTTAACAAATAATTTTTTCCATTTTTTATATTAAAAAAATTATATATATTGCCATAATAAATAAATATTATATGTACTATATTATGATAAAATTTCAATTTTAAAAAATGTCAACAAATTTTATTTAAACATAGAAATATATAATATGATAATTGATATATAAATATGATATATAAATGATAATTGATAAAAAAATATTCTTTAAAATAAAATACAAAATAAATCATCTAAAACCGAATATTTTAAATTATTAATAGCAAATTATTCATTATTTGAAGAAATATTATATAATGACATTAAATTCTGATTTCTCAAATTTTTATAAGAATTTCATACAATTCTTAATGTCGAAAAAATAATAGTTTAGATTATGAATGTCCAGTTGGCTTCGACGAATCCGAATACTACGTAAAACTCTTATCTCGAAGAAACCCCATAACGTACGCGACAAATCCCAACCCTGAGGACACTGGACCCAGTGAACTTATCGATAAGATATGTCGAGCATTCTCACGATCTTCTCTCTCGAGAATTCCTGAAATCAAAAACACAAGATACTTTGAAATCGAGCCACAGAGGTGATATGACGAAAGATTTCTTTTTTTTTTTTAGAAAGAATATTAAAAATATTAAAAATATAAATATTAAAAATTAATCTTCGAATAAATTTAGCCATGGAAATAATTTATAGAAAATCTGGATATATGACACAATTCTTTTGGTTAATGTGGAGAATATGGGTTCAGAATCGAAGAACGATCTTCGAGGGATGGATTTCATGGTTTTCTTATTTCGTGAGTTTTATTTATCAGTAATTTTTTTTCTATTTTGTATGTTAATAATTATTAATTAGGGAAAAATTTCATTAAATTTTTAATAGTTTATATAGATCTAGATTTTATATTCTAGATGATTTTCATATCAATTAAAGAAAAAAAAAATTCAATAAATATAATATAAATACTATTTAAAAAATACTAATTAAAATTTAGAAATTTTTTTTTTTCAGTTTTTTAAAATTATAGAATGCAATAATAAAATGCCAAAAATAATTAGAATTTACTTGGAATTTCAATTAAAATTATAAAACGCAATAAGAAAATTTTTAAAATAAAAAAAATAATACGAAACATTTAAAGAACTATAAAAAAAAATGACCTAATTAATTAGAATCTAGAAACTGGTATTCGATTTTTAAAATTACAGATGCAATAACAAAATTGTTAGAAATAATTAGAATTTTTCATTCTTTTAAAATTACAATAAAAAAAAATTGAAAATACTTAGAAAAATTTCGACAAATATTAACGAGAAAAATAACCAGGAAAATAACTAGAATCTATTGTTATTCACTTTTTCACAAAATTACGCGATTCAGTGTGCGATTTTTCCGAATATTCTTCCCACTAATGGAAAAAAGAAAAAAGAAAAATAATAAAGAAAATGAAATGATAAAAAGGAAGAGAAATAGATAATAATTTAAATTAATCGTAGTTTTCCATGGCGGCTGTAGCCACTTTTTACATGAGTATTAATCCAAGGATGCAAGAGGGTGTGCAAAACGCAAGGGGCGCTTTGTACATGATGAGCTCTGAAATTTCATTCACGGTCGCCTATTCCGTGATTTACGAATTCCCTGGCCAGCTTCTGATTTATTTGCGAGAGGATAGTATTTATAGTTGTGGGCCCTATTATGTCGCCACATTTTGCGGATTGGTAATAGTACAATAATTTCACGTTCAATATTCCAGCTATGATAAAAATTCGTTTCACTCTTTACTTATCATTTGGATGAACGAGCTTTATTTGGTTTATAGTAATAATGATTGGATTGTTTATTTTATTTAAATAAATGTGAAATAAATAATAATAAAATTTAAAAAAGAATGTCACGAAAAGAATGTTGCTTGCGAAAGTTGATTATATAAGAAGATATATTAATTAATATTAATCATTTTTCTGTAGATGCATATAAATCATATGAAAGTGATTCTTATTTTTTTTTAAATAGAATCATATAATTTTTAATGCACTAATTGATGCAGGTTGTTATTTTTTATAAAAAAGGTATTAAAATATTTATATATTTATATATATAATTTAAGATTAGAGATTAATTTATTGATAGTAAAATAAAGATTATTATTATACAGTAAGTTTTACAAAGTTACAATAAACTTTTAATAAAATTTTTTAATATTAAATATTTTAATATATTTTAATATATTATATAACAATTGTTTTCTATTTAAAAAAAAATAAAGATTTTTTTCTTCACATAACCTGTATATCTAAAAAAAATTATTAATACTATTTAATGTATTTTTTTATATCAAATAACTTTTGTAACAACATTTTTTTTTCATTATTCTTTCTTTAAAAAATATTTCACTATATTTAAGTAAAATAAATATCTATTTGCATTATTATAATAATAATAAATTCTAACCTGATTTAAATAGATATTGATTTATTAGCTATTATTATTTTCAAAAAAAAGTTTTTATTAAGTTGTAAATAATTGAAGTTTATATTAGACTTAAATTGTTTATAGCTGAATAAATAAACTTTAATTGAAATTTTTGTATAACTTCTTCGAAAGCGTATTACAAATATATGTATAGCCTATAAATGGATTTTTTAGGTACCAAAAGCTACATTGAAGGCTGTTATGTTCACAACAGTTATATATTTTATTTTAATAAGTCAAATAGACTTGTTGAACTTTTTATTCTACTGTCTAATTACATCGACAGCTGCGATTTGTAGTACAGCATATGGTTTAATGTTTTCCATTATGATCGAGAATATCGATGTCGCTACATCAATCATGGTACCTATTGACATGTTATTTTTATTAACTGCTGGGATGTTTTATAATCTCAGGTATTACATATTTTTATTTTTATATGCGATATAAAAATAAAATAGAAATTATATATTATATATATTATATAAAACTTCTGTACAATTTTAAACGAATGATATAAATTTTTGATCACAAATTAATTGTATCACATTTGATAATTGAAAATTATAAAAAAATAATTATATCTTTGCAACTTTAAATTTTTCTATAGATACACGAATGTAATTAAATATGAACGTAATATTTCCTTTTTTTTTTTATAAATGTAGTATAGTTTGAAGAAATGTTACTAAAAATTTATAACTATTTCGTTGGAATGTTTAAAATTAAACAGATGATAAAAAGCTTGTACACAGTTCGAAAATGAGCCCGTAACTTTTTTTACGAGTCGACGACCTATAAAACTGACACGTTGATGTTTTCAGGTCGCTGCCTACGTATCTGACGTGTTTTAAATATTTCTCGATATTCTTTTACCTGAACGAAGCTCTTTCCATAATTTATTGGTCACGAATAGACGACATCGGTGAGCACATTGCATCGTTGAGTAAATTATTCTCTCTCGCAATGTCAACTGGAGAATTGTCTGTAGCAGAGATATTTATCTGAAGCGAGATATTTAAATCAAGATATAATTTGATATAATTTTACATCCATTTCGAGAGCAGAAAATTTTAATTCGATTCAAAATTTTCAATGTTTATTTGAATTTTGATTTATGATTTTTGTTTACGTATTTATTTAAGGCAAAAATTATTAACATTTTAATTGTGTTTAATTGTGAAAAATATAGTGATTTCATATATTGATCAAAATTTTAAAATTTAAAATATATTCAGTAAAAATATTTGTATTTTTTCTTTGAAGATCTAGTGATTTTTTTCTGATTTTGAAATAAATTAATCAAAATTTACAATGAAACACAAAATGAATCCAATATGAAAAATATTTTATTCAAAATTATATTTTTCTTTATGAAAATCTAATTTATTTATAATTTTTTAGATAGAATAGAATTTATTAAAATTAATTATTTATTTATTTTAACTAATTTTTTTTAATTTTTAATTTTTAATTTTTTAAATTTTAATTTTTTGTTTTAATTTTTTTATAGACTGCCAAGTACCTAGCGACTTTCCTTGTTTAAAAAATGGAAAACAAGTGTTATCGGAATATGGATTCAAGGAGAGCAATCTTATTTGGGATATGAGCGGCCTCTTGACTTTAACAATTGCAATGAATATTATTGGATATTTCGGTCTACGAAGAAGAAGAAAAATTCAAACAATATTATAAATAACAATAATACAATTATTTTACATAAAATAATTTATAAATGTATTATAATATTACTTTCATAATCTTTCACCTATTATATTACTCTCATTAATAATAAAATATATAATAATTTAATTAAAATAATTAAAATATTAAATTTTCAATGTTATTTGTATATTATAAACATTTTAATATATTATATGTCAAAAATGTTTTATAAATTGTCAATTTAAATGAAATTGAAAGCGATCATTTCAATTATTTTGAGAGCAAGATGTTTTAATTATTTCATTCTTTGGTTAATTATATAAATTTAGAAATGGTAATACAAATAAATTATATAAAAATTTGTGCATTTTGTAAAATAAATTTAAAAATATAGGTGATTTAAATTAAAATAAAAATATTTAATAGACAGGTTCCTTGCGACTTCTGTGTCTGATTACCAGAAAACCTGCCAGATGGCTGAACGAAAAAATTATTAGAAGACCGATTATATCCATGGTGTAATGAATTGGTAAGTAACCATATTTCTCTAGAACCTCTAATCCGCTGGAAATACACGGCTCTTCCGGATCTGAAGAACAATCTTAAACAAAAAATATATCGAAAAATATTTTTTAATATTCCAATTATAATTAATTTTTATATGTTTGATATATTTATATATACATAATGAAAATGATATAAATGACAAATTTTTAAAAGAAATAATTTGAATGAAATTAAAATTTAAATTTTAAAAAAGATTGAAAATTTATAATAAAATTTTCAATGATATAATTATCTTATTTCTAAAAAAAAAAAAATTAATTAAAAACTTTAAGTTAAACTTATATTTAAATAGCAAAATATTAAATATTTTCTTATGTAAAAATAAATAATTTTCTCTTAAAAATTTTCTATATTAGAATTTCTTATTTTTCAATTTTTATTTCGTAAAAACTAAAAAAGAAAATTCATAATTCTTTATTCTTCTTTCATTTTTATTTTACTTCTTGTATTTCATCGATTCTCCAATATTTAATAATTACAATCAAGTAAATATTTCTTATATCTTAAACAATTTATATAACAAAATAAAAAATAAAGAGATAATAAACCTAATCGATTTCAATGAGCAATTACGTACTTATATGATCGATCAGAAGCCATTGCGTCAAGGAAACCGCTTCGAGGCCATAATAGAATTGCGATAGGTATTTTAACCAAGCGATACCAGGCGCCAAGTTCCTGGAAAAATTTTCAACGTTCCTTTTTCCATCATTACTCATTACTCTTTAATAGAATTTGCAATAATAAATGGAATATATTTGATATTTCATCTTTTTTCTTTCTTTCATTGGATAATATTGAAGCTATAATAAGACTTAAATTTGACATTTGAGAAGGTATCTTAAGAGTTATTAGGTATGGATCATAAGAATAAGTTATTATGAATTTGATTAATCTGATATATAAAATAAATTTTGCTTTTTATAATCAAATTTTATAGTCAAATTTTTCTTGATAAAATTTTTAATTGTTTTCCTAAATGTTCCTTTACCCCAAATGTAAATAGATCCCGCAGAACATCAGACCAAGAAAATCCAATGGCACAGAAAATAGAGATGCCGTCTCCATCGATTTGAACGACGCCGATAAAAATAAACCTATTTTAAAAAAATCACATCTTTTTATCAGTCATATTATTGGTTATATAATTAGAACAATTAGAACAATATTTTCCAACGCTTTCTGAGATATGATACTCTTATGATAGCTAAATGTGCTATTATAATAATCCTACATTTTATAATTATATAAAATTCCATCATTTCTTATAATTATATAAAAATTTAATAAGATGAGACAGATACAAAAATATATATTTATTTTTAAAAATTTATTTAATATTTTTAATATTTTAAATTGTTATTGTTAAGTATACAATATTTATAATTTAATACATTCTCACTCTATATCATATCATCATATGATATATAGAAAAAAATAAATGTTTAAAATTTTTATTGTAAATTTTTTTATATGAATAATCGTAAATAAAAATGATTGTAACTCTCGAAAAATTATTTTGTAAAGATCACGATCCATAAAAAATATTGAATTATATATTGTTAATTTTTTGAAAAAACTTCGAAAGCTACGAAGTTTATAAAAAAATTAATTTTCCAATATAAAATAATTTTTAGAATTATATTTAAACATTTAATAATTATAAAACAATAAATTAATTTATTTTTTTTTTCGTTATCATTTTCTTCCTTTTTTATTACTATCAAATTTTATCATTAATTTTCCTTCAATAAAAATCGATTTATTTCTTTTGCATATTTCCCTCTTCTTCTTTGCTAAGCAAGTAGATGCTCACCAAAAGCGGATGCTGAAATGGCGCAGACAACAACTGGCAGTGCGAAGTAAACGAATCCTAAAAGTCCACCCTTCAGTCCCGTGATTGCGAATATGAAAGCTGAATATAGCAATGGCTGTATTATCGCCCCAGGTATCTGAAAATTTCCACCAAATCTACTATCCGTACATTGAAATCGGAAATTGGATTTCACTTCTATTCAACGAGGCAACATAATATCTCGAAAGCATAAAGGGACGATGTACAATTAAATTATACTCTTTCTCTACTCTTCGAAAATTTATTTTTCTTAGCACAAAGAGTTTTATAATTGTTGTTTTTATAATTGTTGTAATAATAAAATAATTATTTTATAAATATTTTTATCTATATTTTTTTTAATAGATTTATTATTTAATAATTGTCATGTTTAATGTTCACTTATTTTAAATATAAATATAATTCTTATAATTCTGCGATTCTCTAATTCAAAAATTTATTTTTCAAATAATATACGCGTTGCTTTTATTTAAATATAAAATATAAAAATAAAATAGAAGAATATAAAAGAAAAATTATAAATAATGACAAGAAATATATTTAAAGAAACAAATGGAAATCAATCAGTGTAAATAAAATCAATATTATTAAGATTCTTAAAAATACCAAAATATGCTAAATAACGATATAAAAGAATTTTTATATTTTTATATTTTTTATTATTTTATATTTTTATATTTATATTTTTTTATATTTTTTATTATTTATATATACCATAATGATTTAATTGATTCATCAAATGAAAATTTTAATATTAAAAAATTTTTTAAATTAAATGTATAAATCGTTTTCAAAAAAATTTTCAAAAAATAACTTGAATAAGATCCTTATTTACTGATTTGCTATTTTCATATATAAAAAGTAAATTATTTGTTTAAATAATATATCTTGGAAAAAATAAATGGTAAAAATATCTTGATATAAAGATTAATATTTATTAATAATCGGACATTTATCAAATATATCTCACCAAAACGATAACTTTGCTGATATAATATGGCGCTGGACCATAGAGTCCACTAGCGATGTCGCGTAATAAAAGTGGTAATTCCCTTGGAAATGTATAGAAAACGGCATAATTGAAGGTGAACACCGTCTCGACGACCACCAAGTACAAAAGACCTTGCATATTCTGTATAGTGTCTTGATTCATTGCTTGTCCCGAGATGTTCATAAAGGGCAACCCTATCAGCACTCCTATACACTTTAAAAAGCCGTTTGTCGATTTTTATGAGAATTTAGAGATGGATGAAATTGGGAAAAATTAAAAGAATATAAATTAAAGGGACAATATTTATCTACTGCTTTCTAGTTAAAAATATCTATCATTTTTCAAAATATATTGGAATATTTGAAATTCTACACTTCTTTTATTTTTCAAATAATATTGGAAAGTCTTTTATAGAAATTTATTTTTCAAAAAAAAATGATACAAGTTTCGGTCTTCTTCTATTTTCAAAATAGAATATATATATATTCAAATAGAACATTATATAATTCAATCTGTAGATATTGGATTTTATTAGAATTAAAATAATTTAGTAGATGATTTAATTTGGAATTTAAGGATATAAATATAATCTATAAAAGTATTCAAATTATTTGTTAAAAATTTGAAATTAGATCAATTAAGTAGAATAACCTACAATAAATCAGAAAACTTCTATCTGAACAATAGATTAATAATCTATTGTAATAATAAATAAAAAAAATTGAAATGGAAATATTTTTATCAAATTTGATAAATACGTATAAAATTTTATATCATCAAAATTCACAAGAAAAAAAAATTATTTTCTCCAAAATTTACCATAACTTTGTAACTTTAAGGATAAATAATATGGATTTTAAAAAATATTGGCACTTATACATTTATCTTTTCTGTTTAAATTTTTAATTGAAAATAATTTAATTGAAAATAAATTTTTTATAATTTCATAAAAATAAATTAAAATTCAATTCACATAATATCCAAAATTCATCATAAATAATAATTCAGATCAGAGAGATTTGGATTTAAATATATTCGATTCATTTCTTTTTTTAAGTAATAAAATAAAAATCGTTAATTTTATCAATTACATACAATAAAATTACTTAAATAATAATTATCTTATTCTTATTATGTATATTATTGTATTATATTACATTTTCTACTTTAATTATATGTTCATCCTTCAAGAGATTAATTTTTCCTTCAATTTAATATTTAATTTAGCACAAGCTTCTGCAACAATGGCCGAGATTATGATGGAGGAACAATTAAAGCACAAAAGCGGAGGAACAACCGGAAGGGGATCAGACGACTTAACGTTGGTCAAAAGGGAAGCAGAGCTAACGACAACTTACCATGTACGTTATGAATCGCAAGAAAAGAGTCGTGTAATTCCTCTTGTAGTCGAGGTAGATACGCCATACGAGCCAGTGCAATTGCGTCAGAAGCCGAGCTTTTTTGAAATTTTTCAGAGACAGAGAGACGTCTGAAAATATGGAAGGCAGCTTCATGGACTCCGTGACGCAAAAGTATTCGATCAATTTCGACACCCTCAGACCGTATTTAGATTTCTCGTATTGATCACAAATCCAGTTTATCTGCACACGTTCATCTTAATTTCACTTTCTATTTGACTGCAGCCGAAATAATTCTTATTTTTAACTAAAATTTAAATAGATACCAAGAAGAAGAATTTACTTCACGAAATTTCATAAGCTGATTTTTTTGTCGATTTCAGTGTTGCTTAATTATAATTAAATTAAAGATATATCTTATATAAAATCTTTCCATAACATAGAAATTACATAGGAATATAGTTTTAGAAAATTTATATGTTAAATTGTATTATCAAAAATGATCTTTCGTATCAGAAATGATATTTTCAAGTAAAATATAAACTTAAAGAAAAAGAAAAAAAAAGAAATTTTTAAACAATATATATTATTAAACTTTATATAAACTGTGTTATAAGAGAATTGTTATAATTTATCAACCAAAAAATATCATGTTAAAGATAGATTAGATTATTATTATATGAATTAGATATATGTAATTTTTTAATATAGCATAAAGTGAATAATTTTATTACTTAAATGAGGATAAATATTTATAAATTGGAACAAGCTGTGAATTTTTTGATTTTATCAATTTTTGTTTCAAATACCTTTCTATAACTCTCAACCTCTTTGTCACGAATAATGGATAGTTGAGAAACATAGAATTCGGCACTATTGAAAGTTGGAGGACAAGGAAGATTCAAACTGTAAATTATATAAGATTATGTTTAAATTAATTGTTAAATAAAAAATAGTTAGTAAATTAATAATAATAGTAAAAAAATTAATAAAATAAAAAAATTAATTAAAATAAATTATTTAAAAAAAATAATATATAATTTCTAATTATGAGATCATTGGATTTTCTTTTACATAATATTTGTAAATTTTCAATCCTTCAAGTTATTGTGAAAAGAAATTACATTAGAGAAAAATAATTAATTGATTTTTTATGATTTCTAAGAATTAATTTTGAAAAATATTATATTTATATTTTATGTATTATATTTGCCATGTATGATAGATATATTTAAGATAGTTAGTTTTGATAAAATAGTATGAAATTTTTAAATTTCTTAAAAATAATGATTTGAGTTTGAAAAAATTATAAAAATCTTAAAATTTTAAGGAGATTCTCAAACTCTGAAACTGAATATAGATATCACAAAAATTAACTTTATAAATTTTATATTTTTTCTTTAAAAAATCTAAATAACGTGCCAATTTAAATTAACATCGAATGCAAGTTTAAATATCAAATAACTGCACGTAATTTATTTATTTTATTAATTATTATTTTATTATTTATTAATTTATTATTTTATTATTTATTAGAAAATATTCAATTTCTTAATATTTGTTTCAATCCATTTAAAATTTTTATGCCAAATATTAAATAAAACAATAATATAATAATGAATTTAAAATGATAATTAATTTAAATAACAAATACAATAAATATTACAATTGAACCTATCGAAAAATTCCGTGGCATCTATAGAGGAACCTTGGAAGGCGACTCTACCACTAGAGAGTAGTAAAACCTCGTGGAATATCTCCAATAAACCGGAAGCAGGTTGATGCAACGAGCAAATGACTATCCTTCCGCTGGCCGCCACTTCCCTGAGCGTCCTCACCACAGTCATAGCACCATAGCTGTCCAATCCGGTAGTTGGCTCGTCGCAAAAGAGAATGCTCGGCTCGGTGAGTAGCTAGAAAAATTCTCTACTCTATGTGTATTTCATATTAAGGAATTTTTGTGAGCCAATATTAAACGTGAGTCTTCTAACACATTTTTCGTCCTATAAGATATTGATTAATGTATATGTATATAATTGATATAATAAAATTGACTCTAAAGGCCAAAACATAAAAATATAGTTTAGTATATAAAAATATTGATTCAAGTTTATTTATTAAGTTATAAATAATTGAAGTTACGTTAAAGCAAAGCGAAAAATGATTTCTGTCTTCTTTTATCTAAAATAAATTTCAATTGCATAATTTAATATGTAAGTTTTAAACAATATTTTTGTGTATTTTATATTTGTTTTGATTTTTAGAATCAAAAGTTTGAAAATTGAAAATTTTATTGTTGAGATTTATGAATTTATATATAATAATTAAGAAATAATAGATAATTGGTAATAGATAAGATAAATATATGATAAATATTATTTTATGTTATTGGAATTTTGAATTGTTTCATGTTTTTATTATTACATTTTTATGATTTCAATTTTTGAATTTGAGATCAAGATGGAATTCTTAATTTCAAAAATTTGAAGATCTTAACAATTGAAATTTTTTAAGATTTTCAAGCTTTAAAATTTTTTATCTTTGAGACTTCGAAAATTAAAAAAATTAAAATTAAAAATTAAAATTTTTCGATTTACGATATAATAAGATAAATAAACTTTGAAATTTTCAGAATTTCATATTTCTGTTATTCTTTCAATTTCCAAAACCTAAAAAAGTTAAAAAAATTTTATATTTGATCTTCCATTCTTGAGAACATTAAAATTTTTCGAAAACTTGAAATTAAATTGAATTTCCTTTCCTCTTAATTTCTTTTTTTATAATTTTTCAATAGAAATAATTAACTTACCTCAACAGCCAGAGTGACACGTTTTCTCTCACCACCAGACAGAGCGGATAGTTTTGTGGAGGTGCATTTTGCCAGGCCAAGTTCTCTCAACAGAAGCGTTATACGTTGCCGTCTGAAGTTGGCCCTCAGCCTTCTGTCCATTTTCATGCACGCCTTGATCGACCAAGAACAATCGCCAAGTTTTAATGGGCCCGAAATCCAATCATTCAACATTTAAATGAATTAGTCGATGCTGATGGTCAGTTGAGCATTGATAAAGCTTTTTAAGTTAAAAGTTATAAACGGAAATTTATAAAATTCTCGCTTAGATTTTTCATTCAATGGAAACATGAAATGAACTTTCCACCATGGATGAAATATTGAATTTTAGACGAAGTTTCATTCTAGAAATTTGATCTTGAGTCTTTGGATAATACAAGAATTGAATTATTTATATTAACTGGTATTCAATATTTTTGAAATTATTCGATTTCATTAAACTTCTTGTACAATTCTAAACTTATAATGTAATATAGCAAATATGCCAAATAATGCCGAATTAATTGAAAGGACTTTTGAAAAGAAAGATAAATAATTTTTATTTTTACTTTTATTAAATAAGTATTGGAAATAATAATCGAAATTAATTAATATGACGTATTTAAAAAAATTCTTCAGATCTTTTGCACATAAATAGTCTTAAAAAAAAAAGATAAAAACATAAAAATTATAAAAGTTGTAAAAAATAAAATCACAAAGAATAAAAAAATAAAAAAATCAAACTTTTTTCCTCGCAATACCAAGTAATGATCTATGAATTCTTTTTCAATCGAATATTCAATAAACGAAGAGCACGATATCTTCAACAAATCTCTTTTTCATTAAATTCAATTATAGGGATCTCGATCTGTCATAGTTACGCAATTTCATTCTATTATATCGTGTAACGAATCAGGATATTATACTCTACGTGATATAAATCACTTTATCGATCTCGAATAAGAGGCAATTATTTAAAATCGCTAACTGTTGATCGATACGAGTTTATCGAAATTGATTATTCGATCCGCTGTATCGCGAGCCGTCCCATAAACTTTGACCAGTTACCGGTTATTCACGATTCGATCGTGTTTCACGAGATTCTATCGTCCATTAAAATGAATGTGATTAATGGAGGAAGGGACTGAATTTACGGACTTCTATCGGTCGTGAAATATTACTTATCAAAGAAACACTTTCGACACCTCTATATCTTTATTTAATTGAAATAATTCCAATTATAAATGAGAATATATAATTTAAAATAAAAATTTTTTAATTTTTCTATCGTCTGATCATTTATTATATAATCTAATAATAATAAATAAGTTTATGACACCATTATCTGAATATTTGGATAATTCCAGTTGTATCAATGGATCAATTATTATTTTATTTGTTTATAATAAAAACTGAAAAGTTTATATCAAAAAGAATATTTTCATATCATTCTGAGAACCAGAAAATTTCTTTCAAAAAAGAATGTGATTGGAAAAGACTCAAGAGTCATTGTAAAATTAATTAGACTATTGTAATTGGACAAACCATGAATTCCATATGCTCTTGGATTGTCAGCGATTCGATTGCCAAGTCCGTTTGTGGAACGAATCCAGATATCCTTATCATCTGCTCGGTATCGATAGGCTTTCCATTTAACAAGACGTCACCTGTCGCTTTGCCTATTGAAAACATATCGATCAAAAATCTCTTTGTTTTGATTAGAAAAATTGTGAAAGGATAAAGAAAATTTCCTATTTTTCTAATTTTATAAAATTATGTTTATTACATTATCTTGTTTTATATTAAAATTGAAATTTTAAATAGTAAAAGAAAAATGTTTTATTGAACTTAGATTTTTTGAGTAATATCCTTGTAAAATCCTAGTAATTTGTAAAATTATATAAAAGAGATAATTTTTAAATGTAAAAATAAATTTGTCAAATTTTTCTAAGAATAAATATATAAACAAATAAAATATAGTATATATATTATTTAATTAAGCTAGGATGAAGCAAAATCATTTAAAATTAGTAAAATAACTAATTCATTAATTTTATTACTACATTATTAACATTCTTCTTTGCTAATAATGATTTCTAATAATGAACTAAAAGAATGATATCTTCAATAATAATAATTCATAAATTAAAAATTAAAAAGCAAAAGAATCACCAAACTAAAAAATTAAAAATTATTATTATTTATATTATTATCTATATAAAAATAATTTTGGATGAAGAAATTTGAAATATATTTGGAATATATTGAATTGAATTATCATTTCTCAAATTTATTTTAATATCAAATAGAGTATTTATTTTAATATCAAAGAAAAGTTAAGAGAAAAAAAAATTATACATGATATAATATAACGTATACAACATAACATAATAAAAATAAAAATTAAGAAAATCAAAAAAAAATATTGGTAAAAACCTATTGTTTAAAAACAAAAAAATAAAGAATTAAAACTTCAAAATCTTATACAGAGAGATACAAGCTAATAAAATAAATAAATCATTTTATGAACCTTTGACACGTCTGCTAATAGTCGCAAGAAGGGTAGTTTTTCCAGCGCCACTGCAAATCGAGAAGTTCCTCTGAATGAAGGAAAAACTTTCAACCCTCTTGTTGGAAACAATTAACCCTGGAATACTAAGCACTCGCAATTTTCGCGAGCCACGCTCGGCACATCCAATTTTATTTCCCCTTACTCTACTCTCCACCCTCTTTTTAAGCACACTGTAATATTAAACGCATCAGCAAACTGTTCCCTCGGTTAAGGAGTAGTGTGTGTGTGTGTGTGTGAGAGAGAGAGAGAGAGAAAGAGAGACGTTAAAATCTTAATCCAGAGAACGTTAAGCGTTAACAACTTCTCGAGATGTGTAAATCTTACATGTGAAGCTTTTGTTAATAACGCTCCAATTGAAATTTTAATGATCTAATAAATTTGTTTTACTGACTGAATTCAAGGGGCAGTGAAAAAAATGTTTTTTTATAGCGTTTCATGTTTCAACGTGTTATATAGAATATTCTGCACAAATGAGCAGATCGTTTTGAATGGTTGAATATAAAAGAAAGTTTCATTGGATAATGTGAAATGAATTTGTGCCATTGGTTTGAAATTTTTTTTTAAATTGATAAATTTTATAGTCTTCAAATAACGATTCGTAAAGTCTTAAATTCTATAAAAAAAATTATATTTATTATATTGGAATATGGAAAAACGTATTTTATTGAATAAAATGGAATATCTTTAATATCTACTATCTATTATACCGTGTCATATATGGTATATAATTTATAATAGAAGTGAAGGAATTTTTAAAATCAGATGATTAAAAAATTTTTTAATATTCAATAATCTATGAAATCTAAAACTTTAGAGAAAGAATATTTTTTTTTTTAAATTAAAGTATTATTAAAATTAATATATTCTAAATTGAGAAAATAAATTAAAAATTGATTTTTAATTTTAATGATTATCTACAATTAATTAAAATATTATATGGTAAAGTAGAATAATTTTTAAAATCAAAAGATTTTTAAGTAAAAAAATTTTGTAATCCATAAATGATAATCTATAAATTTTATAAGAAAACTATTTTTATTAGATTAGAACATTGTTAAATCTCATTGCAAAATTATTAAAAAATTATATTAACTATTATATAACTAATTATTAATATTATTTATATTGAAAATTTTGAATAATAATGATTCACGATTCGAATTTAGTATTCCAGAGTTAGAGAAAAATTCTCAATGATTACCTTGGTCCCATAATCGCCATCAACATTCCAGAATTAACTATACCACTGACTGGAAGCATATCAAAGAATTAATCTTTTATAATAATATATATATATCTGATTTAATCTATCTATATTTGATTAAAATATTATCTAATTATATATTATTATTTCTTTTTTCTAACATAAAATATACCTCCATGGAGTAGTTGAATGAGTTCAGTGTATTGAAAACCGAAAATCGCTCGAAAACTGCCGCCATTGGTCTTTCTTTCGACTGTATAAGAAATGTTTTTCCAAGTCAGACACAAATCATTTAGTACATTTAAAGATAAAGGAGGATATTTCACTTGCTGTTTCATCTGAAAAAATTTGATACAATTTATAATTAGAGATATTTATTTCTCCTTCTTTTCTTTTTCAATCATCAAAATTGAATTTAAATAATTTCATTATAAAGGAAATAAATAAATAAATAATCTTCTATATTAATAAAATTTATTTTATAATTTTTTTCCATATAAATAATTTCATGAAATCTATTTTGAAAATATAATTTATAATTTTTCTTCTACTTAAATAGAAAAAAAATACTAATTTTCCAATATTCGTAACATAAACTGTATAAAATTGAAAATCTAAAATTTAAAATCTGAAAACTCATGACGCATCATTCAGAAAATTTCCAAAAAACAGATGGACAAAAGTAAAAACGAAATCGATGTAACGTCCATCGAGTTTTCAATGTGATTCTCGTGTTTAGAGAATGGATAAAACGTAAATGTATTTAAAATCACCAATCGTAATTATTCAAAATTGAATCACTATTATGAAACGCAAAAAATTAAAAAGAAGGAAAAAAAAGAAAAATTTAAATAGATTCATAGAAGATTTTTGTAATTATTCAAGAATGTTTATTGTAATGAGCAACCCTTCCATAACGTCTCATTAACATGAGATCAGGTTCGATTATATAAAACACAAGTCCGGCTTGTGAATCAACAAATATAAAGCTGTTTATATAAGTATTATCTTTTAATTAAACTTTTTTATAGATTAATATATTTATATCTATTTTATCAATTGTTTTGAATTAAATTCCTTTTGTAAATAAAATAAAAATTTTCTTTTATTAACAATTATTTATGATAAATATTTTATTATTGTTTTCTTTTTGCAATATTTTTATAAAAAAAATATAATATATTAAATTTAATAAGATTTGTTTCACTAAAAGGAAATACATAATGCAATCAATTATCTTATAATTCTATTTTATCCATTGTATCGAAATCGTATTAAGTGAAATCTAAATTAATACAGATTAAAAAGTAAATGTAATAAAAAGTGATTGCACGATCGTTTATCTGGTATATCTGAGATTATTAATCACATCATATTCGTATTATAAAAATATTGACTGTATTTATTTTTATTTGACTGTATTATTATTCAGTTATTAAATCATTTATTTATTCGAGAAAAATATAAATAACAAATACGTAAATTTCTTTTCAAAGTGAAAGTTTCAAAACTCAAATTTTATTAAATTCTTTTATTATTCTTAATAGAAACATATATATGTAATAATTAAAAGAAGATATTTGCATATATCTTTATTTTTTAATATTTAATTATATTATTTATTTTTCCTAAGATTTAAAAATTCGAATATAAATAAATTTTTTGATAAATAGAAATTTTATTTTTAGAAGAAATTTACTTTATATTCGTTACATATATACGAGTCAAGTGAAGCATTCTATGAAGCAAATGTATCATGTTTAACTTGCATGCATGTATTTATCAAACCGCAAAACTTTTAAAAAGAAAAAATTAATCACGTACAAGGAGAATATCCCTATGAAAAATGAGAATATTTTCCTAATAATAATAATACAAATATCATTGATATCTATCTAAAATCATAAAATAAATATCTTTATAAATTATAAAAAAAATAATATTTTAACACTTTGTTGGAAATTTAAGAAATTTAAATTTTTATTGTAAATTTATATCTTTACAATTTTCATCTAGGAAAAAAATATTATACAATATATAATGTATAAAATATAAAATATAAAAAATATCATTAAATATTATATAATATATAATATATTAATGTAAATATATAATATGTAATGTAAATACAATGTTATATAAAATAAATATTTATGAAAATTTAGTGAAATTTTGAAAAATCATTCACAATAATTCGAATGAAATATGCATGAACAATATAAGAAAAAAAAGAAAATTAAAAAAGTTTTATTGAAAACATCAAAAGATATTTAATTTTTTTATTTGGTAATTAAAATAGAAAATTTCGTATATAATTAATCTTGAAAATAAGTGTGCCTATACTTAAGTACTTTGTTACACTTTGATGCACATTTGTCTTGATTAAATATTTTATCTTATTCTTTTTAAGTTCACATTGATAAGATAGACTATACATACAATATTAATATATTCGCAGGATATCTTATGAAGATAGAAGATTAATTCTATCAAATGCAAAAGTTGGGATACAAAAATATGAATTGAGATATATTTATTAAGTTATAAAGAAATAAAGTTTAGACAAAGAATGATGGAGACAGAGTGAAACAGCTCCATCTAACATAAACTTCATTTGCTCATAATTTAATAAATAAACTTGAGGTGATATTTATTTGTATACCATTTTATGTTTTAATCTCTAAAATCAATCCTTTCAAAGGTATTCACGAATATAATATTAATATTTTATAAGAACAAATATATAAGATTTAGTCATAATTAAGTCATAATTTATGATATTTTATTTATTATATTTCTTTTGCCTTAATTTTATAAAAAAATCATATTATCGTATTAAAATTTTTTACAAATTTTTTAAAAATTTTATATATATATCAGAAAATTTTATTATTTTTATTTTCAATTTATTTTTATGTAAAATATAAATTTCTTAAATTTCCAATAATTATTACAGTCTATAATAATATCTCTATATCTTTCAATATTATGAAATATTTCATAATCAAAATATTTTCTTATAAAAATTTATAAAAATAAAATTTCTTATAAATTTATATATCATTATGGACAAATTATTAATAAATATTTTGAACAAATAAATTATTCTTCATTTTCATTGTTATATAAATTCATTTTAAAATCTTTTTATTAATTCCTCTACATTTCATTTTTTCCAAAATAATCAATTAATAAAATCATTTTCAATATAATCAAAACATTATATTATAATTAAAGCAAATATTATATTCACTTACTCTAATCGTGTCGTAGAAAATCATCCTGCAGAATCACTATAAAGAGTTCTACAATATTTCTAATTACCTTAATTTATTCACAAATCACCAACAAACAACAAATTATATACTCGACAAACTGTTTATAAATAATTGAAAATAAATATATAAAAAAGATCTACTACAATTAATTTTTACCAATTTAAAAATATCTCGAAGATTCATCAAACAACACGCAATTGCCATTATGTAACATCTTGTATAATGAAATATAAGTGATTATTAAGTAATTATCTATATTATCGATGAATAATTAAAAAATATCATTAAAATATAATATTGTCATTAAAATTAATTATCACTTTTATCATTACAATTAATTTTAAATAGAATAATTTCCACGAAACACTGAACTAACCGATAATACAGGTTTCTACAGTTTTTATTACAAGTTTTTATTATGGCGTATCGGTTGAATGAAGTGCAGGAATTAAAACGAGAGACTGGTCAAGTTATAGTAACCAGAATGGAGCTTTGCTCGCGACACCATCGCAAGTGGTTTTGTGAAAGAATAAGCGACTGTGTGTCTTATATGGAACGGAAGACTGTTATACAACGACTATGATACAACGAACTCGTTGGTGGAAACAGTGAAAGGATTATGCTACAAGAAGTCGTATTTCTTAGCGGATTGGCGGATAGAAATGCTAAAGCTACTTCAGATGGGGTGTATTCAGCTGGATGGTTAATGATCTTCTTGTGTATACATAATGATAATTTTGATACAAAATGTTGGAAGTTAAATTTTAATTGTTTTTTTCTTTTAGAAATTAAAAATAATAATTATTTATTAATAGAGGTTTATTACTTTAAACAATTTTTTATGTGTTTTATTATAAATGTGTCTGTTATATATGTCTTATAATAAAAAATATTTTATATATATATATA